TATGTCCTCTGTAAATGGAAGACTGCAGTATTTAGTCCCCAAAGGGGCCACTGTATCATCTAATCTTAAAGAAATAATGGAAATGCACAAGCTGTGTCTATAATCCTAGAAAGGCATCCATCTTAATGTGAAGATGAAGAGATGGCTATTCCATCATATCTAATATATGTAATCATCCTCATGGTGAAAAACATATGCCTCACTTCCAGTTTTATTTTGTCTGGATTTAATTTCCAACCATAAATGAATTTTATCCATTTCTTTCTCCTACATTCAATATGTTAAAAAAGAGTGCATGTCAAATTGAGAAATATGTGAAAAATATGAGTGTTAATAACAACGTTCATGCACAACATTGGACTGAGAACTCTGGCGGTATGTCTGCATGTCTCCAGCATCATTTGCTGTTTTCACTCACTGCATCTTTTTGAAACATAAACATTTTGGACTAAAATTCTCCTTGTTCTCTCATAAAAATGATTATGTTTGATTCTGATTGAACAGAATCCTGGCAACTCTCACTGTATCATGAAGGAATGATTAGAGGAATTAGTTTTCACCACAACTGACCTCCCACACCATTCACCACATTTTTAGATATGACTTGAGTGAAATACAGCTGGCATTTGACACAGCTTGACAGGGACATGATCTTCAGAAGTGTGCACATTTGTTTTGTTTTGTTTTAGGGGTGAACACTGATCACTTGTTTGCATTCGCATTTTGAGGTGTGCCTGCCTATCATAACAAAAATTGCATGAACAATAAAAAGATTAAAAACATATGTAATCATAAATAAAATTTGACCAAATATCAACAGTGACAAAAAGAGCACTCCCCAGTGTGTATTATAACTGAGTCCGTGCTCACCCCACCCATCCCTTCAGGAAAAGCCTGAGTAAATAGATAGACTTTCTAAGAGCACAGAAGGCCAACAAGTGCAGCTTCTATAGACCGAGTTTGCCAGTGAAATTTGCCATCAGGAATATTTTATTGATGTCCTCACCCTGCCATTAGTTTGGAGATTTGCAGGTCAACAGATGTGACTTCAGCTATTGTGATGCTAGGTAGTGAAGGTTGAAGATCTTAGAAATAGCTTTGACTGCAAGTAGAGACACAGTAGTTTGCTAACAGCATGAGCGATCTCATTTCTTGGGCTGCACCACAGAGGAAATCACTCTGTAATACATGTAGCGTGCAGACCATACAGGCTTCCTGACAATAAAGGTGTGCTGGAAAGTGCTTGCTTTATAGATACAATTGCATCTAACTGAAATACGTCTTGGGGGACAGTTCTATGTATGTTTTGTTGCATATTGGACTACATGATAATTGATTTTTTAAAGTACATTATGAAAAATGGAAAAGAATTTAGAAACACCAGATTTAGCTTACAACTGATGGTGGGCAGGTAGTTCTGCAGTTTATTAAATTTCTCATTAATCAGAACAGACACTGTTTAGAACAGAGACCAAATTTTCCCATATATCTATAAATGCCTACTGTAACAGGCCTCTGAATTTGATCAGGAAATTTCCGTGCTGCCATAAAACTGACGGTAATAGTAATGTAATATTACTAGTCAAGAAACTCTAAAACTGATGTGCCTCAGATAATGTTTGAGCTGACTGATGGTTCCAAGTGGGAACCAGTTGGAACTGAATTGTGTGAAATAGTTTCAGTCTCATTGTTCTAGCCATTACCAAGTTTCTTGCTGGGTTATAACTTCATCCACATTTAACACTCAACATGAAATTCATGGAATGCAGAACCACTCAGAACAAATTCTGTGATAGATAGCCCCATTGCTTGTATTCACAGTCCAGCAGAGTTACCTACAGCCCTAGTCTGCAGAATTTGCACGTTCAGCCTGAAGGTAATGTTTTGATCTTACTGAAGTAATCAGGAGATTTCTTGCTGACTTCAACAGGTTTCACTCCTGGAGATGTAAAATTATCTTGTCCACTCATTTGGCTGGAGTATCTGTTGCAACATGTTATTCCTACCTACTGTGGTGGGAAGGGTCCTGCTGCAATGCTTGGCCTCCTGTATTTAAATTGTGCTGTATGTGGAATATGATAGACATTGGTGCAAATGCTTTATCAGCAGAAGGACTTACACACAGTTTACAGTCTCTTTTCCCATGTCAAAAACAGGAAGTGGGTGACAAGAAAAGCAGCCAACAATATGCTTTTTTCTTTTTTTTTTTTTTTGCAAGTTAGATCAAGAGTGTATTATCTTTGGTAGCAAGGTGAAGGATGGTTTCCAAGTCATCTTTTCATCTGAATTGTTAATAGGAGGTAACACGTGTCAGAAGGCTTGGCATATCTCTTTGACATCATGCTGTTCTCTCATTGCTTGGGATAGGTGGAACAGCTAACTGTAGTGAGACACTTGCATGCAAAGACTTTTCTCCAAGGATGGAGAAATACCAAGGGTGGCCAGCATGGATCATTAGATTTCCATCTATCTGATAAATGGAGCTGAAGTTTTGGCCTCGTACTTAATTATTTGTTTCTTATTTCTCTGGGCATAATGAATGTTTAAACACATAGATGAGTATCAGAAGTGCTCTGAAGAGCTCCCAAATTAATTTTGCTTGGGAGCTAGGGAGAGCTATAAGAGTGGGAGAGCGCATGAGTGAGGGTGAGTCTTCTTGCAATACAGAATGGATGAGTGGAGGGGCTGTGAATTCTTTCTGTTTGTCTTACTGTTTGCATTACAGTTAGTGTTATGAGGACTGCTCAGGTCTGTTCAGGAAGAACTTTCATTTCTGAGTTAAGTAAAGCAGCCCTTAGGAAGACAATCTGGGAGGTGATTTAAGGTAATTTTAGAGAAAGTGTGATGCAGAAATATAAAATTGATATTAGTTATTGATATTGATATTTCCATCAGATACTGTAGGTGTGTTACATGCCTATAATGTTGAACAAAACCGAATACTTAGGATGATCATTATGGGTAGTGCCCACTATCTTGGTGTGCTTGCCTGCTGTAAGAAACCACTGTCACGTGCAGTGAGAGAATGGATGTGCTTAGAAGGACTTTGAAAAAGACTGTCAGCTTTGTTATCAGAGGATTTATGTGATGTGTCTAAGGACAGCAAATATGTATTGGTTTTATTCGGTTTATTTATTTATTTAGTCCCTTCTTTTAGTTTTCTGAGCAGCTGGTAGTTTTAAAAGACATTAAGAAATGGTTGTTCTCTGCACTGTCTAGGAATGTTCTATGTGGATGCACGCAGGAGGATAAACTACTTCAACCTCCTCTGGTCTCACCACAGACAACCCCTGAGCCATAGGCGATGGGAATTGACTTACTCATGACTATTATCCAGCTGCCATAGGCTAAAAACAAAGGTCCTGTGTATTTCGAGTTCAGAAATAAAAAGATCACAGGCTTCTTGCAGACAGAATGTCCTACTAGTGACTGGGATTTCTATGGTCAGTTTGCCAGTGCATTTTTATTTCAGAGTCTTTTTTCCTGCAGATAGGAGACCAGCTTATTGTTGTAGTCATATGCTTTCTGTTCTATATGTTTCTGAATGAATTATTGATCCCTGTTTAAATTATTTTCAAATGGTAGAAAGTATTTTTCCTTGCCTTTCCTGTCTCACCTCACCTGTACTGCTCTTTTTTTCTATTTCTTCTCTCTTTTCCTAGCACAATGCTTTATGGTCATTCTGCTCATGGTTGTCATTCTCTTTGAGAGGTGCTGTTTTGTGCAAGGAGAAAACTTAAAGCTCTTGAAGTGGAACATGAAAATAGCAAATCAGAGCCTCAGAGCACTAAGGCCAAGAAGAGTTGCACAGGATGAAAATGCTATTCAAGCTCTGGCAAATGGTTCAGCTCTACCCTCAGCCACTTTGTTTTTTTAACTTCCAATTTTAATCTTAAAAGAAAAATTGGGGCAGTTGCATTTCTGCCGAAGCTGTGCTTTCACTCTTCTTTTTTAAAGCAAAGCAAAGCAGTGCCTATGTAAAAATATCATGAGAAGGCAGTGAGAGAGATTTAGAACACAGACAGCTTGATTTATGAGTAAATCAAAACGTTTCTATTGATTTTAATGTTAAAATATTCTTTGAAACACAAACTTTAATAGTGCTTGCTTTGAACATATGAAGAGTTCTGTGTGCATTGCTGTACAGCTAGCTTAAATGGGTGACCATATACGGAAGGGTGATCTCTTACCATCGTATATCAGATCATTGCTGGAAGCAAGATAAACAAATGGCCTGATTGGGTTTGACATATGTTAGCTTCCTATTTCCCTTTCTCTGCACAAAAGAAAAAAAAAAAAGGAATCAGGAATGCAGGCCCTTCCCTTCATCTCACGCAGTAATAGCGAACTTCAGCAAAGATTTGAATGGGCCACAGGATTATTAGGATTGTGATATATTGCTTTCTTTTTCAAGTAGGATCAAACTAATTGTAATGGTGGGTTAAATGAACACTGTAGGTTCTCAGCTGTAGGCTCTTGTCACAGTGGAGATCTTGTGTGATTTGGCCTGACAGGGCTTCGGGTTCAAAAAACTTTCATAGGTATCAGATGTTTGACACTCAAAACTGAATACTGAGAGAAGCACTGTCATATATATATGTCCCTGCTTTTCTAGTCTTTCATTTTTGGTATAATGTCATCATGATAATAGTGTTATATTTGATGGAGGCTACTGAAAGGTTGCTCAGTTGTGATGAGTTTCAGTTACGTGGGCTTGAGTCTGCTCAGACGGTGTTGTGTGCATGATGCAGTCCCACAGGATGCTTGATTTACTGTAGAACTGGGGTATCTTCCAAGAGCAAACTGACAGTACAGTGCGGGCATTGCCTTTGCTATGACTATTTTATGATCATTTTGGAAAAGGGAAAACAAAATCGAGCTCCAAAACTGGAGCAGCCACCCTAATGGAGCTCAGGTCAAATCCTTTTTGTAGTTTTAGAGTGACACTGTCCTACAAGCTACAGCCCCTTTATTTATCTCTTCCTAATGTTCTGTTGCAGGCTATCCTACCAGAGAAACGATGATGATGAGGAAGAAGCTGCTAGAGAACGTCGCCGACGGGCTCGACAGGAGAGACTGCGGCAAAAGGAAGAGGGCGATCTATCAGGGGAAGTAACAGAGAAATCAGAAGTTAATGCCCAAAACAGGTAAACCTTTAATGCCATTTACTGATGAGTCAATGAGACTTTTTGTTCAGAGGAGAGGCATATTTTGAAGTTCTTTATTCTTCTACTTAAATCTTGAGTTCCAGGTTTGCCAGCTTCGCTCTTATGAGTACCAAACACTGTGAGGAGTACCAAACCACAGCCAAGTGGGAATATCACTAAGACTGGGCATGACCCATTCCCATATTTATTTACTAAGTGTGCTCAGGGCTGTTGGGATAACTCACTTGGCACTCATGAGGGGAAATACCTACAGTGCATCCTGCTGGTAGCTTCTCTCAGACTTGCATATCTGGTCTGTGGATAGGTTGTAGTACATACAAGTATATAAAGTATATACTTTATATCTGGCTCCACAAAGTTCCTCATAGTCCATAGTACATCCTTGTGATGACAAGTGCATGTAACATTTGATGAAGAAACCATAAATATGCCTTGGTAAATCAAATATTAATCCCAGGTAGCAGAATCACAGAATCACAGAATGGTTGAGATTGGAAGGGATCTCTAGAGATCATCTAGTCCAACCCCCCTACTCCAGCAGGGACACCTACAGCACGTGGCACAGGGTGGCATCCAGGCAGGTTTTGAAGATCTCCAGAGAAGGAGACTCCACAATCTCTCTGGGTAGCCTGTTCCAGGGCTCTGTCACCCTCACAAGAAAGAAGTTCTTCCTCACATAGAGATGGATCTTTGTGTGTTCCAATTTGTACCCATTACCCCTTGTCCTGTCATGGGCCACCACCGAAAAGAGTTTGGCCCCATCCTGTTTACATTCTCCTCTCAGGTACTTATACATATTGATCACATCTCCTTTCGATCTTCTCTAGGCTAAAGAGGCCCAGCTCGCTTAGTCTTTCCTCATAAGATCCAGTCCCTTAATCATCTTTATTGCTCTACAGTGGACCTTCTCAAGAAGCTCCATGTCCCTCTTGTACTGGGGAGCCCAGAACTGCACCCAATACTCCAGGTGCGGCCTCACCAGAGCTGAGCAGAGGGGCAGGATCCCCTCCCTTAACCTGCTGGCAATGCTCCTTCTAATCCAGGCCAGGATCCAATTGGCCTTCTTCGCCACAAGGGCATATTGCTGACTCATGGTAGCATTCTATTACATACAAGCAGAATGGATTTAGATTTTAAAAAGCAGCAAGACATGATTGCAGGCAACAATCTTTTTCCAGTATAAAGTAAAAACAATAAAAGCAGTTAGAAGGAGGAAGGAAACCTGAACATAGGAGAATTAGCTGAATTTTGAAGAAGTCAAAAAATTAGAGACTGAAAGTGAAATCCAGTTCTCCTACCTGCCAGTGTTAAGTGGCATGTCTCAACTTAGGTCCCATTTTTTTAAAGAGATACATGTCCTGCAAATAATCACAACTTCACCTCACTGTAAACTGACAAATTTTTTCACGATGGACTGCCTGTGGATATTGTTGCTGAACAGGAGTAGCAACCTTCTCATTGCTAGAGATGGTCACTGAAGTCAGAGGGTGTCTTGCTTGAGTAGCATCTTCAGGTATTTTGTCTGGTAGGAAGACATTTGTGAATAAGACAAAGAATTTTGCATCAGGTCAAGATGAAGGAAGGGGTCCTTAAAGCAAGCTGAGGTCTTCTAAGTGTTCTGTTATCAGATGCAGTTTGAGAGGATCAATTTTTCAGGCCTGTTTATATTTCAGCTGTTCCAAGCATCAGGGACCAGTCCATACCCATTGAAGTCTGTAAGATTCCCCGGGACTTCAGCAGCTGTTGGAGCACAGCTGGAAGGGATCCTTTTCAGGATGACAGTGTAAACACTCATATTCCTATCCATGTAGGAAAGTCAAATTAATCCTCAGAATCCATTTGCTAAATTTCAAAGTACTCAATCTATTCTGTTTCCACATCAGGGAATGATGCAGTAAACTTTCTTCTAGAAACAGTTAATACTTTGTTAGAAAGGCTTTTTTAATGCAAAGTTGTCGCTTTTATGTAGCGTGACAGAAGAGGAAACCAAACGTACTACAACCACAGGTGGAACAGATGATGATGCTGCATTCTTGGAGAGACTGGCAAGAAGGGAGGAGAGACGTCAAAAACGTCTTCAGGAAGCCCTAGAACGCCAAAAGGAATTTGACCCAACGATCACAGATGAGAGCTTGTCACTACCAAGCAGGAAAGAAGTAAACAACGTGGAAGAAAACGAGACCACAAGGAAAGAGGAAAAGGATGAAACACGTCGAGGACGCTATGAGATTGAGGAAACAGAAACGATCACCAAGTCACACCAGAGGAACAACTGGAGGCAAGATGGAGAAGAAGAGGAAAAAAAAGAAGAAAAAGACAAAGAGGAGATACAAGAGGAGAAACCAAAGGAGGTACCTGTAGAGGAAAATCAGGTAGATGTGACAATAGAAAAACCCGTAGATAAAGAAGAGGCAGTAGAAATAAAAAATCTAGCTGTAAATGCAGAGGAACACAAAGCAGAGAATGATACTAATGCTGTGCTGGAAGGGGAGCAGAAGGGAGAAGAAGAGGCTGTAGATAAGCTTAGAGAAGAAGAAAAGGAAAAGGCTGAGGAAGAAAGGAAGAAAGCAGAAGAAAGGGAGAAACTTGAGGCAGAAGAAAGGGAGAGGTTAAAAGCAGAGGAAGAAAAGAGGGCAGCTGAAGAAAAACAGAAAGCAGAGGAAGAAAAGAGGGCAGCTGAGGAGAGAGAGAGGGCTAAGGCAGAAGAGGAGAAGAGGGCAGCTGAGGAAAGGGAGAGGGCTAAGGCAGAAGAGGAGAAGAGGGCAGCTGAGGAAAGAGCAAAGGCTAAGGCAGAAGAGGAGAAGAGGGCAGCTGAGGAAAGAGCAAAGGCTAAGGCAGAAGAAGAGAAGAGGGTAGCTGAAGAAAGAGCAAGGGCTAAGGCAGAAGAGGAGAAAAGGGCAGCTGAAGAAAGAGCAAGGGCTAAGGCAGAACAGGAAAAGAAGGCAGCTGAAGAAAAGGCTAAGTTAGAAGCAGAGAAATTAAAGGAAAAAAAAAAGGTAGAAGAGAAAAAAATGGAAGAAAAGAAAATAGAAGATAAACAGGTAAAAGAGAAGAAAGTACAAGAGGAAAAACCTAAAGCAGCTTTCCTAAGAAAACAGGTACAGTAAACATTTTGCACCAAAACAAAGACACCTGTGATTTGTGAGAAATGTAATGCAAGAAAAAAAAAAGATTGGATTGGAATTTCCTCACATTTCTACTACTGCATTTAAATGACTAATACTTACGCTCTTTCTCGCTCTCTCTTTTTAAACTAAAGTCCCTTATTTCTGCTTATCGACAATGCAGTATGCAACACACCTAACCTAACTCCACTGTACGGAGAAAATTTTGCATGTTCAGACCTCTGCATGTTTTTTTTGCTGCCATCTTTATTTATTGTTGTAAGCTGGCCTGATGCAGTACACATGAGGTTTGGGCAGGCACAGAGTGATGCAAAATAGGTGAGCACCTGGTAAGCTCGGTGTGAGGAACGTGTATGTTAAGTGCAGTCCCAAGTGAGGGGGCTCTCTGCTGGGACATGAGCATGATGCCACGCGAGGGAGGAAGGCCGAGGCCGGGGAATGGGAGCTCTTGGGGAGGAGGGAGGGAACACAGCTGCACATGGAGATGTGGCACAGCAGCTTGTGGAGGAGATGCAGATGCACGCTGGACTGGTACATGAGCACGGTGTGGAAAAGCACAGGCACAAAGGGAATGCTCAATGTGTTCATCTTAAATATTATTAAAAAACCCAAAACCAAGGGGGAAGAAAAAGAGGTTAAAGTGGAAGTTCAGAAGGAAAAGGTACAAGATGAGAAGCTTCGACCTACCTCCAAAAAAGATCAGGTAAAACTTAAACCATTCATTTAGATGCTGTAAGGAAACTTGAGATAAGAAAATAGAAAAGGGCCATATACCTGAAAGTTACTTGTTCAGCATAGTACTTAAGTATGTGCCTCACCCTAGGAACATGGGCAATCTTGCTGAAATAACTGGGATGAAGCTACTTATGTACTTAACATTAAGTGTATGTTTAAGTGTTTTGCTCCTAGGGTCTCAGAACCAAGTCCTGTTTGTCATAAACAGAACAAATGTTCAGTGAAGCTTGGTTCAGTCAGTAATACAAGGATGATTTGGACTCTAGGGATAGATTTTTCAAGACTGTGTCAACTAATCATCTTCCCTAGTTTCCTCCCACTTTACTGTGAACTTTTTCCCTGTGACTGAGACCTACTCTCATACCAGTAATAATAATAATAATCTTTGGCCTTTGGCCCTTTGGCCACCTGACTGCCTTAACTAATGATTTTCCCCAAACTGCAATGTCCCATAATATAAACCATGCATACCCAAGATTCTTCTTTTGTTTTGAAGAGAAATTCTACAAAATTTACTGCATTGCATTTCCACTGTAAACACAGGAGCTGGTGCCATGGTGTTTTACTGTATGGTAAGTAAATAAGATTTGGGAGCCATTTACACTCAGACTGCAGCAGAAAGACATGCTCAGTGTTACGTAGCACCTGTGTTATCCATTCAATACAGCAGGTATCAAAATAACCACTGATTCTAATTGCACAGTGAGATTGGGCAAGACCTTGCAGGCTGGGACTCATTTGGGTTCATCTGGGTCTGAATAGCTGAAGGAGAGTCACAGCATAGAGATTTGGTAAAGGTCAGCTTGCTGCCTGTGCAATTGCTGTGGAGCCTTGAGGGCTGGAGCTTTTGCTGCTGTGTGGTAACAGCAGGTGCAGACCTGTGTCCTGTGGTGGAAAACAGCTCCATTAATTCACAACAGACAATAAATGCTTAGCTTATCCTCATGGGTAGGTGACGGCAAATCATGTGATGATGTTTTATATATAGTTGTCTGACTCAATTGTCCAGTGTATTTGTTAAGTAAGGTACAGGTGAGATTGAAAAAGTGAATGAAGTAATGGAGATGAACACTGCTTTAGAAAAACTTAGCAGTTTCTCTGCTTTATAGACTTTGATTATAAAACTAGAAGAAAGAGCTGTGCCAAAATTTAGAGATTGGTTGTGTGAGAACCTTCGCACAACAGAATCAGTCTGCAATACTGAGTGTTGCAGAAAATCTTTGAATATTGTAAGTAGTTTTAAAAAGGGGGCTCTAGTATAGCTGCAAACATGTTGAGGGGGATACCTGAGATGCAATTGTCATGCTTGTGCTTATGTGGAGCTTACTCAACTCTCTCTGGAGCTCCTCTCATCCTTTTAAACCATGCCCACAAGGCTGGATTCTTCCAGGAAATTGGTAGGACTTTTAAAAGCGACTCAAGAGCCCCCCATTCCTGGAACAGTGCTGAAAACCAGTCTGCTGAAAAGTAGATCCCTTGTACGTGTATCAAAATAAGCATTCAGAATCAGTCATTCTTGAATAATCATTCTAGATTTCTCATTTTTTAAAATCTATGTTGTTGCTTGCTGCCTTGGAAGAAAAAATTGCAATTACACATTTATCAAAATCAGTGTTCAGAATGATTTGTCATTTTTAAAAGTATCTGTTGTTGCTTCCTGCCTCGGGAAGAAAAAATGTCAGTGTCAAGCTGCAAACAGAGTCAAGATGATCAGGTTCCCATCTTTCCCCTTTAAAGTATATCCAAATTTAACAAGACCTTTTTTTCAAATGTATATTCAGGTAAGAAGGTAGGAGCGTAAAATGAACAAGATGCTGAATGAGTACCATGTCTCTACAGAGCCAGATTTGTGCTTCTGTAATTATGCAACACAAGAGTATATTGTGACCAGAATCTGGCCCTCAAACTTTAGGTTTTAATCAAATTAGCAAACAAAGTTTGTCTCCTTTTCTGAACTGCCCCACAATTTTAGGTTCTCAATACTGGGCTGGAAAGCTCATAATGGCAAACATTCTCATGATGTGAGACTCCTGGTATTTCCTGCTCCCAATTTGGCTAGACACGCTGCAACAGTTGCTTTTCTCATGGTATTTGGGTATGGTAGTTGGCTCTAAATGGAAGCCTAGCTAGACCAAGAAATCCATAGCATTTAAGACTCGTAAGAAACTGCACCCAAATACCGGATTGTCATTAAAATTGGTAGGAGCAGGACTGGACCCTAAAGCTGTGAAATGTTTCTGTAATAACTTATTTTGTCATGCCTTTGAATAAGGAAGTCAAATTATATAATGGTTTTCTCAAATGCAAACATGCGACTATAAATCCTGCTGACTTGTGAAAAGTTATTTCCTAACCTATTAATTTTTAAACAATATTGTTTTAATATTAGTTTTGTCAGACATTTCCATTAAGATGTGAGAGATATGGCCTTGCCCAGTGGACTTCAATGCATCAGGCAGCTGGAAGAATTGGCTTTTTAATGAGTCTTAGAAAGATCTTGGTGCAAATCTCAGGAAAGGAAATCCTATGCTCTCAAAATCCTGACACAGGCATCCTGGTATTTGAAATGCTGCAACAATCAACATCCCCAGTCTTGATATCACACTGCCTGGGATTGAAGGTTGAGGAGGTAGTGCTAAGAGGCAGCAGAGCTTTGCACTGTGAACGTGTCACTAGTTATGATCTGGCCCACATTTGGGAGCATCCAAAAGACTTTGCTGTCCGATGGCATTCATTAGGCTCGAAGAATAGAATTGGTTGTCTCAGCTCCCAGAGAACAGGCAGCCCTTGCTGAGTCTGCTTGCCTTGTTTGCTGGCAAGTCACAGCATCATGGCCAAAGAATGCACGGTCACGGAAATTGGACTCCCCTCTGGCCCGCTGAAGTGGTTTTGCCAGGTCATAACTAGCGGCCCTTGGCAGGATGGCACGGGGAGAGTTTGCACGCCTGCTGCCTCTTCACAGGACAGAGCAAATTTCTTGGTGGATTGTGTCCAATCAGTGACAAAGTTGCTTAAATTCTGTAAATCCCCATTCCTGGCCTGGAGCTTGTGCCACCTTGGCATTATCTGTCATACAGATTTCTGTGAATGAAAAAAATGGACTCAGATAAAGTCAGGGCTGATACCGGGACTTCATTCAGCAGCTTGAAAACAATTATTTGTGAGGATCTTGACTTGAAGACTTTAAATCATCCCTAGCTAGTGTGGATTTTGCATCCACAGAAGTTCCTCTTTGTTGAGGAAGGGTAGAAATAACAGATTTACAGTATCTGTGCACGTGTGGGAGGGGTTGGTTTTATATTACTAGGGGTAGAATGGAGCTCCATAAAACAGCCATGGTCTAGATAGATAAATGTTACCAGAGTAGGTTGTTTTTTTTTTTTTTAGTTAGAAAATGGGATGGCAATAGGCTTCCAAGACACAAAAGTATCTTTTAGTAAAAGTCTTCAAATGAATTTTTCATGGAAAGCATTTCATGCTTGTCCTCTAGAATCTTCCTCCAGTATTGGTAGAGGATTAAAAAAAAAAGTTTCATGTGCTGCTATTGAAAATTTATTGAGGCTGACATTCCAGCTCACTTGCTTAGTGGGAATTAGCATAGTAGTACCTTAGTATGCTTAATAACATTCAAAAATATACAGTAAAGATTTGTAAGGGAAGGGAGAATTCTTGCTCAGAATATTTTCTTTTCCTTATAATTAAATATTCATGTCTGATAACACCATCCGTGATAGGCACCTGACAGGACTGTGTTTATGGTTAGAGCAACTTTTATGATGCAGATGTAAAGATCATTTAGTCTCCTGGCCACTATACTTGTAATGTTGAACTCTCCACCTGTTGTGGCACTTAAAACATCAGATTCTTTCTGGTTGCACTCCCATGCTGTGCTGCTGAGCTGAACTGGCATGCACAAACTTTGTCCAACCATCCTGGCAGTCACTGAAGGCATTATTTTTATTGGCTTGTGCCAGAAGACTGTACAAAGACTGGAACAACAAGCCTAATCCCAGGAAGTTTGCAGCCCAGGATGCTAACAGGTGAATAGTGCTGCAGTAGGAGAGAGGAGGATGAGCGTGCCTTGGGAAGGTGCAGTTGCAGAATGGTGTGACATTCCCATGGCCAAACTTTCACAGAACACACAGGATTTCAGATACTTTCATCTTTAAATCGCATCTAGAAGACAGGGTGATGGTTGATCATGTTTTAGAGCTTTGCAGACTACCTCTGCTATGAAGTACATTAGCATTTTGAAGACAGTTCTTGGTTAAACATTAGCACCAAGAAATTCCTCAGCAATTATTTAAAAGCCTTACTGGATTTTTTTTCTATGACTTATATTATCTCCCGAACAGATAAAAGATGAAAAGGATAAAGCACCTAAGGAGGAATTTAAGAGTATCTGGGATCGTAAGAAGGGATTTCCTGAACCAAAGGCACAGAATGGAGAACGTGAACTCCCTGGCCACAAACTTAAATCTACTGAGAATGCTTTTGGGTAAGTTCCAAATAAATGTTGGGTTTATGCTATTGCTGAGCAGGTGGCCTCTGCATCTCTGCTAATGTCCTTCTAGCAGCTTAGTATAAGACTTAAGTTGCAATCATTGGATTGTTAGGCATAAATTAACAGTCTTGGGCTATATTTTAAAGAATTGCTCCCACAGCATTGCAGTGACAAAATGTGATACATAAAGCAGGCAGAAATAAGAGCCTCATTGCCTTTGTAGGGAAGAATATCTTATTTTTGCTTTGCCTGGTTTTTCCTTCCTTGAGGGATATTTCTTTTTAACATATATACAGGTGCCAAGACTGACCATAGTCCATTTTTTTTTTCCCAAATGAGATGTCTACCTTTACTGAAATAGACTATTTCCAGTTATATACCTGCATTGAATCAGACTGTTTGGTCAACATAGAACAGTATTCAGTTGGTAACTCCTGTTTATTATGGCAAGCCTTGACAATAATGACTTCTGTACAAAAGTGACTGTTCAGTTGGGTGAAAATCTGCCAGGAATAATGTTTTGAGGGTTTGTTTGTTTTTTTTCCCCTTTTATAAGTACCATCAAAGTTTGATTTTTTTCAGAGGACTACTGGCCTTATGGCTGTAATAGGGAGTCTAAATGAAGGTAACAAATCGGTGGTGAAAAGGTTATTAAGAAGGCATTCTGCATCCTAATGGGAGATGCATGAAGCAGAGCAGAAGTTCTTCCTTTAATAAAGGCATAGGAATGAACGGGTTAAAAATGTTCATGTTTTCCTTCTGCACTTCTGTCCCTCTTTTTACATTGACACAGGCAAAGATCAGGTTAAGCTCTGCAGGCACTTTTTAAAATCTGTGTATGGCAGATGGTTTTTGCTGCTGTATTTCAGCATTACCCTTGTGAGTCTTCTGGGAAAAGAAAACTTTCTCAAAATAAATGCAGTTCAAAAGCCCCTGGAGACACCCTAACCTAAGGCCAAAAGACAGATCAAGTCAGACAGCACAGAGATGGAAGAACAGGAAATCAGCCTTCCTCAGAACTGTTCTGTATCTTGACTTGGGTCACATAATCAGTAACAGGAGAAGAGTTTTCTAAAAATATTTTTGTTGTGTTTTCATTTGTTTTGCTTCCTGTGGGAGACAGACTTTAGTGGCAACATGTAGATATGGGTTTCTACTCTTATTCATTTTCTGTTTTTCTTCCACTGTTTCCCAAATGTGTGAAGAAGGGGTGTCTTACCCAAGATTTTTTTTGGAACCTGCTTCTTGTTTTTACATGAACATACCAGATGCTAGTAAGAAAGCTTTGAATAGGTCTAAATGGTGAGAATGAGAATAAAACGGGGTAATGGAGACTAAAAAAAAATCTCCTGAGCCTTATTTGTCCACTTTAGTCAATAAGAGAATTACAGGAAAAAAAAATATGTTTTTTATTTCTTCCTTTTCCCATCTTCCCTCCTACCTTCTTTCTTGCTCATTTTCATATAGGCTGGAGCAGCAGTCCTATGATGTAACACATTTTTTCTCACATTGTTTGACTCCTACAAACCTATTCTTTCCTTTTCCTCCTGTCTGAAAGCTGGCAACCAATTTCATTTCTTAACACCAAAGAGGCATTTACGAAACTTTTCCTCCACCCACTGTCTCAATACTAATTTCTCAATGTTGACAATAAGGAGCAGCAATTCCCAGAAGCTGTTAAAAACAAAGGAGTTTGGAAGGTGGAGGAGAATAAGGAGAATTACTGCTAGTAATGGTTTCCTACCTCAGAACCAAGACGGGAAGCCCAGCATGTTGCATGAGAATAAAGTAAATCAGGAGTAGGTATACCAAAATGAACTCAAAATCTGCTTTGCAAGGAGGACAAAGTAGTCACCTGTGCTCTCCAAGCATTAGATTCTACCTCTGGCTTGTATCAGTTGAAAACTGAGAGTAGCTCTGTTGATTTCATAGAAGCTATCTATGCTGAAGTTGTTGAGGATTAGCCCTTCTTGTGTACCAATATAAAATAGAGTGGAAATTTGTTAAGAGAATCTCGGCAGAAATTAAACCTTTAGTACTCTTAATTTTTGAGGGCTGGTTGCCCTTGCCAACATCATTATTATTCTGTCTGAAATGACTTGTTAAATCTCGTTTGGCCCCTGATCTTGCAGGTGTGGGTGGGCTGGCAACACACACACTTCAAGGTGCAAGAGCAAAAGTCAATGTGGTTGCGGGGGTGCTTTCTTGCAGAGGTTGCAGCCCTGCAGCAAAGCAGGAGGAAGGTCTTAAAACAGCCGGAGATTTCTTATGGCCTGTGCAAGACAGAGGAATTGGATCTTTAGATACTCAGTATACTTAGATTCATGGAACATTTGGGTTCTTGACATCTCTGCAGACTGGATTTGATGCTGTACACTCCAGATCAGACATCATACCTCAAGTCTGGGCCCTCATTTTGTTTTCAGATACGTTCACCAGAATTTAAAGTAGAGTTTCCAGTGTCTTCTAGCAATGCTTTAGTTAACTGTATATGCCTTTTGTTTTAAAAAGGCATATTAGTTCCCTCCTTTAATTAGACATTGCTGAAGGAAGCCCTGTTAGTGACAATGCACATTAACATGATCCTTGTGGTGGAGGGTAACCTTGAGGTCTACTTTAATGAGTTACCTGCCCTGCAAAAATATTCAGGAGTAGAGCCTAGCACAGAAAAGCATTGTGGTAAGGTGGTATTGGGGAGTTACAAACTATGTACCCGTAACTCTAGATCAGAAAATCAGATATGAAAAGTTACTAGAGATGCATACACTCACAGAGGCCTAGGAGATTTTTTTTTTCAATTTTGCATTGCGATGTTACCCTTTCACATAAAGTGAACTTCATTTTCTAAAATGAAGTAAACACGCTGTAAAATAATTGTCAGATCATTCTCAGACACACTCAGATGAAAAATAAAAGCTGAGATTCCCATCGTAGTAATAATTTGCTTGTGCTGTTTTGCCATGTTTTTTAATAACGCAATTCCCAAATGAGGCATTCTGCCCTGCTAGCGCAGAGCTTCATCCAAGAGAGGAACAAAATGTGGGCAGAGGAATCTGTAGTAGTAGATTATAATGTGATTTTAAAACCACAGGTAAATCAGCTGTGATCCTACAATGTCTTTTCATTGATTAACCCCAGTAGAGTTAGTGATTTTCTGTGTAGGAGAGGGTCTTATGTAACTGAGGTGTAGAATTAGGTATGATTCACTGTATTACAGATTTACAATATTTGCTTTTAATGTTATTTGTTATCTCTAATGTGATGATCTGCGTGATGAGCTCTACTAGCTTTTATTTGCTATTGGAAATCCCAATTTGTGCAATCCTGCTGTATTAAATTCTGTAATACTCTGGTTCTATTACTGAAATCATTAGTATCCAGAATCTCTGAAAGCCAACAGAACAGGGTAGAAAATTTTAAAACAAATCTATCATATTCCTTTTCTGTCTTTTGTGAATACTATATTGATGATACCTCTTAGGTGCCTGTCTCTTGCCAGAAGTAATAATAAACACACTCAGAGAGCAGACACTTATCAAAACACTGATGTGATAATTATATAACCAAGTGATACTATTTGATGCTCTTAAAAGTATGCACTCCACATGAACAATTTCAATTTTAACTTTTTTTTGTTGTATTCTTTCTTTCCATCTCATAGTAGAGCTGGTTGGAAAACTTTTCATCTTCTCCTGCGGAAAGCTGCCATTAAAAATAAATTTCCAGTTTCTTAAGAAAAAGTCATGCTTTCCCTGGAAAATGTCAACAAAAGAGCCAGTGAACCTCTCTATTCTTACAAGCTAGAAAATTCCAACTGGCAGGTGCTTGAGATGAGATAGGAACATTGCACTGGTGAAGCAAGAAGATTTTCTTCTCACCTCTCCTGTCTCCTTCAGCCTTCCTAAAGTCTTAATTATTGCTTTCCATTGCTGTTTTTTCTACTTTAAGCATAACGCATTTGTTGAACAGTGCCAAAACCAGAGGTGATTTCAGTTCTAAGACAATGTGGTGCAACTGCTGCGCTCATAAGTGTTATGAGACTCTAAATATCTCGGCCTAGTTAATTTGTGATAAAAACCTTCGCATCTGTTGTAGGAAGTTGGGAAGAAGCAAAAGATCTTACAAGAACAATATGTTTGTCTGCTTGTGCTGCTGGCTAGCGGGTGGTTCTAGCCAAGAAGGGACAAGCTATGGTACTTGAGCTTTCCTTTCCTTCCTTTCCTAGACGCTCCAATTTGAAAGGGACTGATGAGGCGAAGCGGGGGTCTCCCGCTGATGAAGAAAAGAAGATGAAGGAAAAGCAACAAGAGGCGACCGTGGAGCTGGAGGAACTGAAGAAAAAGCGTGAGGAGCGCCGGAAAGCCCTTGAGGAGGAGGAGCAGAAGAAGAAGCAGGAGGAGGCTGAGAGAAAAGCCAGAGAGGAGGTATTGTTAGAGGTTACATGGTGAACTGGTCCTTGACTTTGCTTCAGATCGACAACTTTCTCTTTTTTGTTATGCCTTCTTTTAGGCAGGGCTGGTGTGTCAGGAGGTGCACTCCAATTTTAAATATACTACCTGGCATTAAAGTCGCCCCAAATACAAGGCATATTTGATCTCAATAACCTTATCATATAGATGCTTTAGTGAGGACTTGGGGTAAAACATTCATCCACTAGGGTAGAAAGTAAAAATGCAATTCTAGCCTGAGAAGATGACAAGTCTCTAGTAATGTCTTCATAAGACAGAATTTTATTTGTGGGAGCAGGAAAATTCTTAAATTTGGGGACATGTAGAATTTTCAGTATGACATTGTAGCCACATTGCTCTTAATTTTGGGAGGATGCCTCTCTGATTATGCAGCCTGAGTTGCAAAGACATGACGGAAGTTAGTCTGCTGCAGTTGACCTGGAATGCTAATGTTTTACATAGTAGCGATGGGCTAGATCTCATTAGGAAGTTATTCTTGTCTATTTAAATACTGAGTACCCAAGCACATCTGTTTGCACATGCTTCTTCTGCCAAGAGGCTGTATAAATAGGATTTTTAAATCTCTAGTGCATCATTTAGGAATCCAAGTTGTTTAGAAAACAAATGTAATTTGAGGGGATGAATAATAATAGCATTTAAGGGCTGAACACTAATTGCTTTAATATACTAAGCTCCTTGCAGGATAACTCAGTAGAAGCAGAGATTGTACAGTGTTGTACAAGTAGAGTTTCAGTTTACCGGCACTAACAGTGGTTGTCCTTTGAGGACTTCCAGTTTGGTAACTAAGGAAGTAAAAACTCCTGTTGCATCCTCGGAGGGAAAACTGTAAGCATTTCATCTCCATTGCTTTGGGCACCACATGATTTTTTCATCTGCATTTAATTGGCACAACAATCCCCAGAGCAGGCAGTGAAGAAGAACAGTACAAAGAGGGTACAGTAGGGTACCAGGTGAATTTGAGGAAGAAAATGAGACCATGGGCATTTCTGTTTGGACAAAAGGGAATATAGGGAAGATGACTGGTTTTCTTAAAAATCTGCTTCCACCAATGTGCAGACTCAGAGAACTTTTAAAAGTATTCTTTAACAAGGTTTTTAAACTATGTATAACACTGTGAAAACATGCATGTAGATTCTGGAATCTAGTCCTTAATGAAACAGGATTTTTATAGATGTGCTTTGTTATCTCTTTAAGTGGCACTACATGCCTGGTGACCTAACTGTGAGGAGAAATTAAGGCAGCATACAGTCCCCCTCTTCCCCACTTACTTACTGAATACTGCGATTAGCGCTGTTGTGTTACCAGATTCCAGTTAGGTCCCTGAAACTTCCTGTTGATGTAAAAAAACTCTTGGAAAATTTGACAAAATTCTGCAAGATTCTAGATCCCTGTAGTGGTGACAGTTTCTGAAAGGAGAAATGACCTTTTTTTTTTAGGAGGAGAAGAGGAGGATGAAGGAAGAAATTGAGAGGAGAAGGGCTGAAGCTGCTGAAAAACGTCAAAAGCTGCCAGCAGATGGTGTAACTGAAGAAAAGAAGCCATTTAAATGTTTCAGTCCTAAAGGTTCATCTCTCAAGGTAATCTTAAGGATATCTACATCATACATACAAAATAATGAGGGTTGTAGCCCAAACCAACTACCAAACATTTGAGCCAAATAGTTGAAATCAGGCTTAGGACATAGCACTGAAACACGTCTTGGCCTAAAGCCTTCAATAGAAAAATTTCATACAGAGGGATAATGGAAAATTAGCAGTCCTTTCTAAAAATGCAGTCTGGGCTGAGAGTCACTTGTTCTTGTTGATCAAAAATGTCCAAAAAGGATCTTCATTTGCAAAAGGGAATTATTTTGGGAACTTAAGGCAGTACTACTGTGCTTATTTGCAATGTTTATTTATTATAAGAGTATTTTGTTAACTGAAGTAGGGAGAAATCATAAGTGTTCTCTCTCTTCTTGAACATGCGCAATTACCTTTTTCCTTACCAGATTATTGCAAACTGTCTCATATGGGAGTTCTAGTTTATGTCTAATACCCCTAAAAATAACATTTAGAAGTTCTGAGCTCCATTTCATTTTCTTAAATAAAAGAAAGAACTCTCTACCTTTACTGCAGGAATTTCTAAGTGTTCTTCTGTGTCCTATCTTACACTGGAGGTCTGATAATTCAGTAAAATGCCCTTTTAGTATATGAAAAAAAATCCTGGCCCTGCTGAAATTACTGAGAATTTTGTTTTGGTATTCGTTCCAGTTGTTTTCTCAGTTCACACTCAAACTACAGACATCTATTCATCATTTTCAACTATGTTTTTCTTTTCTCACTTTATGTCATTAGTCAGCCATGAATCTAATAAGTCTGTCAAAAAAAGGCACCTTTAGTATACACGAGGAAGGGAAAAAGAACAGGAGGCTATCAGGTAGGAGCTGGAGTTGGACCATGAGTAGACCTCCTGGGGTTTAGGAAGCATACTGCATCAACCGCAAACTGTATTTAGTCAGAATGACATGTATACTCGCAGACCTTTGGTTTGAATTGATGTGCAGCTTTGTTTAGAGTATTTTGGATCAGATTGCAGCAAATGTGGTGGCTACATACTTCTGACTGAACTTGGCTTTAACTCCATTCCAGACCATTCCAGTCACAAATTTGAGGACAGGATATATAGAGCTGCAAATGAAGGTTGCCGAGGTGCATGAGTATTGCCCAGTATTGCCATTTGGTTACATTTTTGGCTACGTATCGGTGACTAGAGCTAAATGTAGAGTTTCTTCTTGATGCTCTTGAGAAGGCTTCTTTTTCTTTGCTTTGTTCACTAAGTTGTACTTTATGACATACATTCAGAGCCTGAGTTCACAGATGACTCAAAAGAGAGGAAATTATTATTTGAAAGTGCTTGATAGAAAGATGTAGATCATAATTTGGGGGAGAGTGGGGCAAAACAATGTATTTGGCAGTAATTCAGAGAATAGCTTTCAGAGAACTTTTAGGCTCATGCTACACTTTCTGTATACATTTTTGTATTGTTTCCAGGAAAGATGGAGTTTTCTGAACATTGTTTAGCATAAAAGGCCCTGTTTTGTTCTGTTCTGTTTTGTTTGTGATGGCAATTGCTGCTCGTTTATTATGACATGTTAGGCAGAAGTTGCTCATTACAAAATTGCATATATGGAACTTCATACACATTTTTCTTTCTATTTCTCTCAGAAAAAAAACAGTGATACTTTAAATATTTCAGTCCTGGTGTTTGTGGGTGGCCAGAGTAGATTTGTAATGCTGCTGACCTTAACACCCCAAACTGTTTCTTGGCCTTCTGTGGTCAATAACTGAGCAGAGAATAATTTTAATAACTTGATGTAAAACCTAATGTCAAACTCCAGGTTTCAGAAGCCTTCTGTGGCCTTTCATTTGAACAGAGTGCTCAGGTCCACCTAACCTGATTGATGTACAGTTGAAGTCCCAGGAGACTATTAGACAGTGCTCGAGTTATCTCTTGACTTGTAAAGCATTTGGCACGTATTTTCTCACCCAATGGATGTATCATCTGGTTAGACGTGCCAGGAATCATGTGTAACCCATAAATCCACAACTGTGAGTGGACAGGTGGAGTTAATAATGAGAAAGGGGAAACTGAGTATTAAAAGATGCTTTGAAACATGTGCACGTTCTGTATTTGCCTACATCTCAGTCTGGCAAGGAATCCTTTTCTCCATCCCTGTTCTTATTGACCATGCTGAACTTTAGGGTGAAGAAAGAACACAAACTCTGCTGCTCTCCCATCATTCTCTTGATGCTGATAGCAGCCTAACTGTGCTTAATGGGGCAAAAGCACATGTAAGGTATTCAGACTAACGCGAAGCACTTTTCTCCCAGGAACTACCACTCAAAATGTTTTTCCACCAGGTTCTTCCATATATGTCAGATATAAGGCAAAACTGTAATAAAGGGATTTCTCTTTTCTACATTTATTTCTTCTTCCCTCTCCTTCTTGGTCCATTTTTTTCTGATTTTTTTTTTGCATATATCAGTTTAAAGACTTTTTATTTCTTATAACATCTAATTTAAAGAAATGTATGAAACAGGTGTTACTGGTAATATTTAGATGGCATATGTTTCCTAAGTCATTGGGTAAAATTATGTGTTAACTTGCTTCTTTTCCATTCTGTTTCTGTTCTTGGGTGCAGATGCAAAAGAAGAAAATGCAATTTGACCCCCACATTTCAACTGCATGATGTCTTTATTAATAGGCCAAGCAACTTGTTGCATGAATCAGTGAACCAAACATCACTGTGTAATATTGAATGTGGATAAATGCATAAATACATCTTTGTATAACTTTTAGCTTAACTTACTGTACTCCACCTGTATGTTCTGGCCCTGTTCAGTAAGGCCTTGATCAGAGATGAGCCTATGCACATTTTTGATTTATGTCAGTCGGTGGCTACTCCCATGAATCAAGCAGAGTGCTCGTAAGTGTTGGGCAGGACTGAGAGAGATTTAGTTCTTTATCATTTAAGCATTTAGATGTCTAAGATCATAGAATCCTTAAGGTTGGAAGAGACCTCTAGAGATCATCTAGTCCAACCCTCCTGCACATGCAGGGTCACCTAGAGCACGTGGCACAGGACTCTGATGGGCCGCCCCCATCCTCCTCACTCCCTCCCTTAAGGTATTTATATACACTGATTAGATCCCCTCTCACCCATCTCTTCTCCAGGCTGAACAGGCCTAGCTCCCTCAGCCTTTCCTCAACAAGATAATGTTAAAGGGAACCCAGAAAAAAAAAAGATTATTTTTACTGCATGTTCTCAAATTGAGGAAATGTCTTGCTTTGTGCACTAACCACCTTGCTTTGTCTATTTCTCTTACAGATATATTTTGTAATTTTGTTCACTGTATGTGCCAGCCATTTTGATTTTTTTTGCATGGAGTTGTGTGATGTGCAGTGTATAAATAGCCTTTGGCTGTGCTGTTGCTATGCAGCATAAATGTATTTGTCCTTTATGTCGAATACGCATGTGTAAAGAGTTGTTTGCTCTAAACATATTCAACATATTTTTCTCTTCCCCACATGCAGATGCTCTACCTGAACAGATCCCTAGAGCAATTTTTCATAATTGTTCAGAAATGTATTGCCCATACACATAAGGTATCTGCCTCCTCAGGAGGACCATGTTCCATTCTAAGGGTTGCCTCCTAACTCCACTGTCCTGTTTAATTTATTTGCTTCCCTATCTTCCTGTGCTGAACAATCCCTGACTTAGTCCTGATATCACACAAAGTGCTTAGAGAACTGTTTCTATGAGATAAAGAATGACTCTGTGTCTTTTTACAACAAGCCCAAGAATTCAAGTCCTGCTTTCCCCCACTTGCCCCGCTCTCACCCAGGGCCTATGGCAGCCAGGTTTTCCAGCTGTATAAAAATGTTCCAGAGGTATGGGCAGCCAATCCCCTTCCTGAACACAGGAAGACTCTGGAAGTTGTCAAGGCTTTAGCAGCACTCTAAAGATCTGTCCTTTGTAAGAGTTCAAGTGCAATCTGAGTTCTGCTGAACTAGAAGATGCTGTAGACAGATTATTGGTGTCATTGCATTGAGCCCTGCTTCCTTAAGATATTCCATATTGTTCATCTGTGCCACCGGCTGGGACATCGTTGGTGCTGCAAGGGTCCTGTTCAAGGAGAGTTCAGGAGAAAGTCCTGGCTCATGTTGTGCCCACATGTTATCTGTATCCACATGTGAGTGCACGCAGGGGTTTAGTGTTCCTCAGCTCCTGTCTGAGGTATTGCTGCCATCTTGTGACAGTATGTTGAAACAGTTGGTGTGTATCAGAGCAAAGCCCATCTTTCAATTTAGGACTACTTTGGAACATACGGTATCAAGTAAAACTGTTAGCATAAGTTACTCCTCAGATTGTATACTTGTTAGAGCTTTAGAGATGCCTTTGACCTAGATGTGATGCTACCTGGAGTTTCTCCAATTAGTTTATTTGGCAAATTCTACACTGAAATGAATTGCCTAAGTTTTTGCTACTAAGAATTTGAAAAATAAAACATCCATGTCCTTTGATGAGCTTGATGTGGGGCTTAATATTCTTTGACAGCCCTGATGCTAATGGTGACAGAGGAGAACCATTTAAAGGAATGGCTGTCATTAACTTGTTTTGAAGAGATGAATGCTGTAGCAGTCTCTGCTAAAGGGACTTGAAAATGGACAACCATATTGAGAACTGGAAATGCCCCCCCCAAAAAAAATGGACAACCAGGATGATTAATAGCAATTTCTGTCCATTATAGCTGCTTGTGTATTTTTACTCTTGAGCAAAACTGTAGACCTGGGACAAGATGTGGAACAGTATAATGGGGAAGACACGTGAAATTTATTGCTTCACAGAATCACTGAATGATTAAGATTGAAAGGGACCTTTGGATATAATCTAGTCCAGCTCCCCTGTGCAAGTAGGGTCACCTAGAGCCAATTGCACAAGATCTTGTCCAGGTGGGTTTTGAATATATTCAGATAAGGAGAATTCACAACCTCCCTGTTTTAGTGCTGTCACTGTCTGTGTTACTGTCTGTGTCACTTCACAGTCCAGAAGTTTTTCCTCAAATTCAGATGGAACTTCCTATGCTTCAGCTTGTGGTTTTGGCCTCTTGTCTTATCACTGGCCACTACTGAAAAGAGTCTGGCCCCATCCTCTTGACATCCTCCCTTAAAGTATCTATACACATGGATCCCCTCTTGGACTGCTGTTCTGTAGGCTAAACAGGCCCAGCTCTCTCAGTCTCTTTGTTTGAGAGATGCTCCAGTCCCCTGATCATCATTGTAGCTCTACATAGGACTGTCCCCTGTAGCTCAATGTTCATCTTGTACTGGGGAGCCCACAACTGGGCATAGTACTCCAGGTGCAGCCTCACCAGGGCTGAGTAGAGGAGGAGGATCCCCTCCCTCCACCTGCTGGCAATGCTCTTCATGATGCAGCCCACTGGCCTTCTTGGCCACAAAGCCGCATTGCTGTCTCATGGTCTACTTACTGTCTACCAGGATGCCCGAGTCCATCTTTGAAGAGCTACTCTCCAGCAAGTGAGCGCCCAGCATGGGGCTATTCCTGCCTAGGTGAAGGACCCTGCACTCGTCCTTGGTGAACTTCGCGAGGTTTCGAATATTTCCAACCCAGAATGCACACTAACATCCCCCCTGCCCTATCGTGACTTTTTTTGGAGCTTTATTCAAGGATGTAGGCCATTTTATCTTCAAATTATCCAAGAATTTGGCAGAAGTCTCATGACTGCTTTATGATTCTTTTTCACGGGAAACATTATTTTCCTATACAGAGAGTAGATAATAACGATGGAATGTAAGATACCAGTTTGTATAGATATTGACTCAGCAGTGACCCTGCTGAATACGAGTATAGTACAGTCTGATTTACTTTTTTGGAGTTCAGGTTAAATTGCCAGTGTCCTGCAAAAATATATGTGAGGTAGTGTACATGGCTGAGCTCCAAACCTGGCCCAGTCTGTTGTCCTATCTCAGGGGAAAAAAAAAATAATGTATTTGCCTGTCTCAAGAGATACATACTTGCTCTTGTGTGGGATATATGAGTAAATTTGGCATGCAAGGTTTAATGAATATTTACTTCCAGGTAAGGTAAATATCTTATCCTTATCCTTAAGGATAAGGATAAATATCCTTATCTCCTCCTGTACTGAGAATTTTTTCTCTTGCTACAAATGAAACACTGAAGAATATCCAGGATGCAAACATGTTAATGTAAAAAAAAAATAGTTCCCCCCCTTGTGAATATTCTTAATAACCAGACCCTAACTACAAAATCTGTGTGTGTGATTGCAGTGATTTCTGTTAGAATCCTTCTCTTTCAGGTTGACCTTGAGATTGACTTTAACCTTGAGATTTAAAATGATATTTTACTCTGGCCTTGTCTTACATATTACCTGAAAACTTAAAACTCTTGTTTTTCTTTTTATTATTTCTAGATAGAGGAACGAGCAGAATTTTTGAACAAATCCGCTCAGAAGAGGTAAAACAATAGAACACACAGTAGGTTCAATCAGAGCGTCAAAGTGTTTAATTGGAGGGAAAAATAATTTTGCTCTTTCATTCTTTCTCTCTTCCATTCCCTACAGTGGTATGAAACCTGCCCAAACGACAGCAGTTGTCTCGAAGATTGACAGTAGACTTGAGCAATACACCAGCGCAGTTGTGGTAAGTTAATTTCAGGTCACATTGGCTCAAGTGCTAACAGCTGCTGACACTTCTATATTTGACCCATTACCTATTAAAGAATTTCAGAGATTTTTTCACTTTTTTTTTTTTTAATGAGACTTGAGAACAAAATGCTTGAGAAAAGCCTTAAACCTAACTCCATAAATATAGCTAGACAAAATCTTCAGCTTCCTCAGCTCATACAGGTTCCCCTTTCCTTTGAATCTGTAATGTACAAAACATACTAGAGTTTTGAAAAAAAAGAAACAGAGTTTGGCCCAGGATTTTGGAGAAGACATACTGACACTCCTTCTGTCCACTCTATCCTCCCCCAGAACCCCATTCTCCAAGAAGCATCTTTGCAAACATGCCATAGCTTCTAAAACTTAGCCCTAGAATCTGAAGCTTTAAGGTTAACTTTTCTGGGTCAGACAGAACAGAGTCTGATGCCCAGTGACAGATCAACATTTTTCTCATGCTTCACATAAGGACTTCTTTTCTTTGTGCCTAAAAGAGGTATATTTACAGGCAGGGGACTGAGACTTGGAAGAGGACAAATCAAAGCCTTGGAGCAGTTACGCACACAGCTGTGGTTGTCACGAGATTTAGAAATGTAAAAAATGCAAAACTCTGTGTGACTGCAGTTCTCATAACCTGGCCTGTCGTTCAGGAGCCTGCAGCATTCAGGAGCTGCAAGTCAAAAAGATCCTCAGTGGCGTCTCTAGAGCTGGGTTCTCTTCTCCATCCTTGTAAGAACACTGCTGGAAGTAGCTCCAGCTGCTACCAGTGCGTTTCACAGCCGAGCCCAGTTGTTGAAGCATTCTGCATGTCCAGCTCTTATTGCCAAGCACAAACTAGCCTCAATTCTTTTGCAGGGCACAAAGGCTGCAAAACCAAATAAGCCAGCAGCCTCTGACCTTCCTGTGCCAGCCGAGGGTGTTCGTAACATCAAGAGCATGTGGGAGAAGGGGAATGTGTTTTCATCACCCTCTGGGCCAGGAACACCAAATAAGGTATGTATTTAACTTACCTAATGATTATAAAGGATTATGCTTCAGACCTGGCCCTACAGTTCTTGTTCATGTGAGTAAACTTGGCTGTTCTTCTCTGTGTCAGTGGCAAAGAATATCCTAAAGGATCCTGAGATCTGGTCCTCAGATATGGCTGCAGTACTTAGTACCCACAGAGCTTGCGTGTGAAGCAAGTATTGAGAGTCACATCAGATATTTTAGACAAATATAGCTGGCTGGTTCAAGCTGAGTACAGAAAAATTCTTTTTTTATTGGGAAATATCCTTTTGCGGCAGGGCAGAGGGAGATGCAGTGTAATAGATGAACTACCACTGTCTTGTAAATCACAGACAGAAGCATTTGCGAGACTTTTTTCTATGTAAATTCTTAAATCAACATTTTCTTTCTATGAGTTTGTGAGCTGTTAAGTATTCATCATAGCTGAAAACAGTGAACCATGGATTGAAGGAGGTTTTTTATGAATACCAAAGAATCTTCAGCAAGTCTTATGTCAGTTAACTCCTCTATTAAATTCTTTTTTGCAAAAATTTAGTTTAACAAAACAAAAATGTAGGAAAAAAATACCAATACCTCCTCTCCTTTTAGACTAAAGATTTTTTTCTCCTTTGAGTGACAGGAAGAGTAGCTGAGATTCAGGAGTCATCAGGAACATCAGGAAAGTTCATGCCTAGGTTAGCTCTATAGTGAATATGATTTTATTTTCCAGCTCAAATTTGCCGTCATTGCAAACCTAGGGGTAACAATACTAGGTAGTTTGTAGGGAAGAATCTTTTCCTAGACAAGTTGGCTCTTAGTTGTGGCCTTGGTGAGAATGTCTGTATTAAACTCTCATTTGGCTTTGTGTTTGAATCCAAGCTGTGGAAAAAAAAATATCAATAGCTATTCTAAAAATCTTCTGATAATATTTTATTATTTTGCAGGAAACTGCCGGCCTGAAAGTTGGTGTTTCCAGTCGTATCAATGAATGGTTAACCAAGAGCCCAGACGCCAATAAATCACCTGCTGCAAAACCTTCTGTAAGTATACCTGCAGCAAGCATTTCTTTAGTGGTAGGGGGTCTCTCCTGAAGCAGTGGTGGCAGTGGTGCTTCCACTGCAATTTCATATTTTTTTTTGGAGGCACCCAGCTGCATATCATTCCTTAAAAGCTCAGGTCACAGAGGCTCTGATAATTTCTGGGTAATTAAAAGAGAGGGAGATGAGACAGAGCAGTTCTCACCTTAAGGCTGATGGGACCTTCAGAAAGACAGTGGTCACCCAGCAGAGAAGGGCAGTCTTTTATCAGCTCAGAAATCATACCATTAATTGAGAAATTTCCAGCCATAAACTTTGAATTAAATGCTTGTGCTTTGGATGTTTAAACTTTAAGTGTCTAAATATCGCTTCTAATGATGGCTGATTAGCCTGTTCTTTTCTTGAGTGGAATCAGACCAGAAAACTCTAAGGAGGTAGTAAACAGGGAATATGGGTAGGAGCAGAAACAGGTAGTTGTGGAGCAGGGAGGAAGGGATGAGGAACTGGACCTGAAGGTGGACCTGAATAGCAGGGTCACTCCTGATGTTAATGGAGCTTTCCTGAAGGACTGTTTTCCTCTCATATGCAGTATACTTGTTACCAGTACCTTGCCCTTTATTGATGGTGCAGTCCAGCATTTATTTTCTCAGTTCACACTCCTATTTGTCCCAAAAAGGGGGTTGGAATTTGCAGTGATTATCCATATCCATATTATCCATATCCGTATCCAGTCAGTATTTACTAGTGGCTTCAGGGAGCTTAATATAATCAGAATCCAAACGGAAATGTATATGAAAACAAAAGCAGGTATGGTGGTGACTCTATTTAATCATAGCTGCTGAAACTACAACAAGATTTGTCTCCTGATTTTCCTCTCCTTCCTCTAAGCTACATCTTCTCAATAATACAAAACTAATCTTTTTTTTTTCTCTTCAGCCATATGCTTCTATATCTGCATTTCCCTCTTTCTTGATAGATTGCTCTTTCTTCTTTCAATATTTATGCTTGAAGGAATCTGCTCTTCTCCTATGCTGCTTCTTTGCTAAGCTGGTCAGGTAAACCTATTTATAATTGAATATGAAATAATATTATACATCTGTAATGTGTGTGTATGTTTGTTTTGTTTTATCAGAATAAATCAAGTAGAAACCTAGAATTTTTCAGTTACCAAAAACAACCCTTCTCCCAGCCCATTTCTCCAAAAAAGAATAGTTTTGACTGTGTCAAGTCTTTCTTTTGGAATAACATTCAGTAAGAAGTAGTGTGAACAAAAATCTCCATTAGATTTATGGAGAACCTAAGTTATGGATTTCAAGATTTATGGAAATGATTATATGATGATGTTGCCTGTGGTGGCATAGGATTGTTGTGTCCTTGATGACCCTGTGCTGTAGAGAACAGGAGCTACGTGGACAGTTCAGTGGAATTTTGCTCTGTTCTTCCTTCTGCTGTTATTGCTGAACAGGCTTTTTGGAGTACAGAATGAGCTCAAAGTCTTAGCCATCAGCAGCTCTCCTTGGGTCTAAATTAGAGTCTGCTCTAGAGCATCACTATTGTTGTGCACACCTTTTGTAGAAATGAGACTTTCCTTCATCATTGGGCAGTTTTTTCTCCTGAGTTAGAAATGCTGGTATGCAGAAAACAACCTACCTATGGATGGCAAGAACAAGAATCTGGAAGCTATTCAGGATTTGAATACTTTCTGAAAAGGAACATAGTTGCATCCTAAGTTGTTTCAATAATCTTCGCCATCCGCAAAGGTAGATACCCATAGAGCTGCATTAAAGAGTTGTATTGATACCAGCCTAGCATACGTTTTCTTGATTCACACTCTTTTTTTCTCCCAAACAGAAGCTTGTGATTTGCATTGGATTTTGCTCCAAGTACCCATATATACTCTTTTCCAGAGAGTGAACTCATTGCAAAATCCAAGTCACTTTACCTCACTATTTTTTTTCTGCCAGAATAACAATTGTTCATGTTATGACTTTAAAAGATGCAGTATCCCTTCCTACTCATTTGAATTTCTACAATATTAAATGCAGAAACTTTTACTTAAGATGCAGAGGAAGCAATGCATAAGATGTTCTTTTCTGTTGTATCGGAAATGCCTACTCTGTTTTTATAGTTTTTTAATGAAATATTTTGTCTCTGATTTAAGATACCTGAGAGAAGCTTATTTCAGTATTCTCCATAATGCAAACCATTAGTTTTGATTTCTTTTTCCCCAAAATTGGAATTTTCTTGCTGAAAAACATGAATTTACTGTACTCCCTAGGATGAATCAGACAAGACATGGCCAGTGCAGAGCCAAACAAATGCAGCAGGGTTGAGTTTTGTATTAAAGCATTTATGTGTGCAGAGTGGTTATGTGGGTGCCATGCTGTATAGCTTTCTAAGTGATAGAAAATGTATTATTGCCCATGGGTGATATTCCATGGTACTTGTAAACTTAAAAAATAATAATAATAATAAAGAGAGAAATTTGAGAGCTGAGAGGAACATATGTAGTTTTGAAATTTGGAAATCAAGTGAAAACTGGAGCCTGTGTTACCACATTATGGTTAAATAGCTGGCCTGCAGCATAGAAGTAAAAAATTATCCTTTGTATCCCTTTTTAGTATTCAGCTTGCATTCTGCCACCTTAGATGTTACTCAATATAGAAGTAAACAGCCCCTACACCCCAAGATGTACATGCAATTTACTGGAAAGGCTTTTTAGGTCAAATGCTATCTTCTGATGTTGCATGAGATTAAAAAAAACACTCTCCTGAGTGGGATTTTCACAGCATAATACAGATTTCTCATGAGTAACTCGTTAGAATTTTTTCTCCACTGAATGAATCTGTTTTTTTTCTCTTTGACATTGGTTTTAAAATGCAGGATTTAAGACCAGGAGATGTATCTGGCAAACGTAATCTCTGGGAGAAGCAAGTAGTTGAAAAAGCAACAACTTCTTCTTCTAAGGTAATGCTTGAGTTCATTGTAAAAAGGGAAATACCTCTGAGAGAGGCTTTCTGGGGGGAAGGCTGTGTTCTCCTACTTGTATGCAGTCAGTTGGAATTGGGCCCTTTCTGGTCCTGTGCTTGTGACCTCCTTTTTTATGTAGAGTAGAGATTACAATGAGGCTTGAGCAACGTCTAACTTTTACATTCTCATTTGGAAGAAACTCTGCCTTATTTCCCAGTATGAATAGGCACATTTTCGCATATTCAACTAGAATAACGGCTTTTTTTTTTTTCAATACAGGTAACAGCTGGGGGGAAAAAATCAGAGACTAATGGTAAGTAATTCTAATAATGCACCTGCATAGTAAATAGAGATGCTAGAACTTTTTCATACAGACACATCTGTGGGGTTTTTTTGTATCGTTGTTAATGGTGATGCAAAAAAATACACTTTCTTCCTTTGCCTTTCAAAAGCCCATTTAGTTCCTCATCAGAATTGACTGCTGAAATTGTTGAGCTCAAATTGTTGAGCAATAAGCCGCAGAGGAGGAGTGAGGTCAAGATGTTCTACAGCCATATTTGCAAAGTTTGAGCATGTCTGAGCATGCTCAAGCATGTTTGAGCATCTGTAGCATGTTTGCTATAGCTGGAGAGTGTTATTAAACTGTGTGAGGTCCAAGGATTAGGATGGTCATTTGGCTAATTACAGCATATACCAGACAACTCGGAAAGGCTCTTTTAAAGACTGGAGGGGGAAATGGATATGCTTTTTTTGTTAACATACTTGGACTGGAACTTGGTTGTACACAACAGCAATATTGCATCTCGTGGAGCTGGATTGGAGTCTTCTCAAGACAGACGCAGCCTTACTACTGCTGTTTGGGGAATACTGCCTGCTTGTGCAGAAAGGAAGCAGCAAAATTACCCTTCTAGCTCATGTACTGCTTAAAAAAAATAAAAAATAAAAATAAAAAACAATAACAACAACAAAAACTTAGACACTTCAAATAAAATCAGTTAGAGGAAATAGGCACCTAAGACCCTGTGGGGTAGAAGGGAAATTAAGTTTAGTAGATTTAAGATGCCCTGCAACATCCCTGGATTTTTCCAGTTATAGGAATAAAATGATCAAATGCAGAAAAAAAAAATGCTGAGGGGTAGCCAGAGCTGCAGTGGGTTTTGTGTACTTCTCATATCAATATAGAGTCCCACAAAAGTAAATTATCTTTTACTTCTTCTCCTTTTGTAAACCGGAGTGTTAAAAAAGATGCCTTCTGGCTTCCTCAGTGTTAGCTGAGCCATTCTCCTTGAGGGCCCCCTCTTTGTGGCTGCAGGGGACGAGAGCGGGGTTGAGAGGCTGGGTTTGCGTCAGCTTTGGTTTCCTCTGGTTTTGGTTTCCCTGCCCCGCACCATCGCACAGGCTGCCTCAGTCTCTCCTGAGGGGTCTGTCAGGCAGTCAAGGAGGGTATGTGGGATAGAGCGTCCTCGGTGCCGCAGGGCAGAGGGTTCCATGGCTTCTCTGCCCCACTGCTGGGGCCTTTGGCTGTGAGCGCGGTTGCAGGAAAATCCTCCTTGTCCTCCTGGAGATGTTTCCCATCAGGCCAGCATGGGAGCCCAGTGAGGTCCTTCATGGGTCCTGCCTTTTTACACGCTGCCTGTTCATCTGGATTTAAACCCGTTACAGCGGAGAGGTATGTCCAGGCCGTGCCGAGCCATCTTTAATCTTTCTCTCTCTCAGCAGGTTTGAGACAATTTGAGAAAGAACCATAGGAGGCTACTAAAGACGCTGGACCAATCAGTTGGGGGAAAAAAAGTGCTAAATTGTTCTTTTTATATTTATGTTTATTTACCAAAATGTCTTTTTTTTTTGCATTATCCCAGTTAAAACCATGTATATTAGCACTGTATTTAATAATCAGTCTAGACATTCATCATAATAGTACTGCCTTTGCACAAGAGCCTTTATTCCTAAAGAAATCCATGCTGTGAAATATATAGACTCTCCTACTGATAGTCATAATTATGTATCTGAACAGTGATTTCAACTGACATAAGAGGTCAACCCAAAATACATGTAAAGTGAAGTTGCTTAAGAAAGGTGTGCAGTAAACCTATAAAAGCAGTGGTTACTTTTGGGATACAGAAGTCTTTCTTTCTGCACTTTAGACTAAGGCATGGAAGAAATATCATCAGTTGACAGTGTAATATTTTCTGTAAGTTACCCATGTCATGAGAAATTCTGCATCAATAACTTGTGGGGTTTTTGTTCGTTTTATACTTTTCTAAGTATCAATCTCTCCATTCTAGTGTAAGTTAATACCTGAATTTGGATGATTATGTTAGCTGACAGCGGTACTGATACTTCTTTTTGTTGTTAGTGACTAGTAATTGATTGCAATTTAGAATATATACACACATAGCTTTACAAAGTTTAGCCTAAAGGCACTACTAATTGTAGAATGCTTAAATACATGCTAGAGTATTATATGTAGTAATAAACATACATAATTAGTCAATATCACAGCTTCAAAAATAAAGACAAAATCACACACTTTTCTATAGTAAGATTTCATAATTGCCATTAGAGGGATGGCGAGATAAGTATTAAAAAATTTTAAATGTCGGTTGCCCAGTACTGGGTAATTAAAAAGAAAGTTATAGTTTTTAAAAGAGAAAAAGGTAAGGGTATAGAGGGTCAAAAATAGATCACTTGTATAAAACGTTGTAGTTTAATTTATATAAAACTACCATTATTAAAAGAAAGTAAATCTAAACACAGAGAGCTTGTTTCAAATGACTGTACACTAAATCTTGCCATTCATCAGTGCCGTACACTAGATCCACCTGAAATGAAGTAAACCTCTATCTTTAGAGTGCTTCTTTTTAATTCTCTCTCCCGAATATCTTATTTACAGATGTTTTCATTTGTATATAGTAAACACATGGCTATAAGACGTCAGCTTGGTTTGAATTTACATGCCATACGGTTTAGCATTTACATCCTACAGTGTATGGGTGGAATAAACTGAGCAATTGAAGTAGCCCCAGAGTGTGTTGTTAACAGCTTTGTTGTGCATCAAAACTACCGGGATCTCCCTTTTCACCACTTCATCTTTTATAGCATCCGACTTGCTCCTAACGAAGAAGAATGTTATGTTGCAGCCCAAAGATGAGCTCCCCTGCCTGGTTGAAACATCTTGTTTACATGTAGAGATGCACTCAGTTGTCTGTATGGGGTGAAATTGTGCCTGACATTGTCTATGAGTTGTCATGTTTTCTTTTATTTTGGGGTTTTGTAAACACTCCTTTGAGTCTTTCAAATACATTTGATAGCTGCAATAAAAATGATTTGTTCAAACAATGTATTCTGAAACTGCATCCACAATAAATGGAGTATTTCCGTCAGCAGTCCTTGTTTGTTAATGACTAGGAACAAGCCAGTTGTTGGCTAGCGTTCACGCTAAGGCAGTGTGAACTAAGGCATCACAAAATGAAGCTGAGAGGATGTCTCTCCTGACGTATTCTTCTACCTCAGACAGCAAAGTCCTAAAGTCAACAGCTTCAACCTGCATGTTTTTAAGGGAATAAAGGAAAAATCTTAATCGTCATCTGCATCCATGCAAGACAGGAGCCATGCATCATGCAGAAGTCAGCACATCGAGCCAAGTAAGTTCTGATTTAATGGTACAGCCAGCCGTGTTTGCTGGGTGGTGGGTCCTGTAGCATTTCTTCCTGTCTCCGTGGTGAGAGGGAGACATCTCTCTGCAGATGGGATCAGGCTGGCTTTCCCATTTGCCCTCTACATTTCCTCTTTTTCTGCTTTAATGACACCCAGCAGCTCCAACCAGCTGCTCAGGGAGCATTGGAAGCCTATGGCAGGCAGGCTTGAAAGTGGGCCTCTTTTCCTCCCCTGAACTGTGTGCTCTACAGGCTTTGCCTAAGTGTCAATTTTCTGCATGATAAACACATTTTTTTTTTGCCCCTGGTTATTATCTGCTTTGAGAGGGGAGATGTTCGGGGTGCATTAAATCTGGAAGTTAATTTTACTTTTGGGCAAGTCGAGCAAGATTACTGTGTTGTAGTTTGTTCTCACCAGCTGGCACCACCTCGTGGTCGATTCTGCCAATGACAGTCCCTGTGACAGTGACAGGATATGTCTGTGACCAGCCAGACTTTTCGTTGTTTAGAGTGTGGATTCCCACAAAGCTGCCCTTTAACCCCTGCCTTTGCTTCGGCCTAGCACTGCCTCTCCAAGAATACTTTAAAGAATTTGTGAGTCTGCCTTTTGGTTTGGTGTTTCTAAGGAAATGTTTTTCTGCATTTTCATTAGATAAATCCAAACCTTGTTTGGATGTGTTGTTCTGGATGCTGCCAGCAGGTTGTAAAATAACTGATTTTATGTTTGAGACTTGCAGAACAAGTTGGTGTTATTTGCTAGTAGCCCCTGTGTTCAGCTGCGTGTACTCTGATCAATACATATGATGTTCTGCTCCCCTTCTGACCTACTGTAAGGACCCGGTTTCTGATTGCTGAGAGGGAGAGTTACACAGAATTACAAGTGCAACTTTATTCTTCATGTTCTAGCAATAACATTATCCTGCCTGATGCATAAATCAGAAAGTAGCATCTGTCATTCTTGTATGGGAACCATAAGACAGCTCTCCTATCTGTATTGAAATTCAAAAAGCAGAGTTCAGGTGTGTTCTGTAAGTAATCACACAAAATAATTCAAGCACTATATTTATTGAGTTTTGTTGTTATTCAAACTTTATTCATATAAAATTTCAGAGTATTAAGAAATCTACTCTATAAAAATCACAACTATATAAAAAGCAGAGTAATCAAAGACTGCATTTCTGACAGCTGCTAATGGGTCAGTATGACTTACCACACTGAAAACTGCATGTAAAAATATCTTTTATATAAAAATATCTTTTAAGTAACCAGCTTTTTGTTGAACATGTCTTTAATTAAGGAAGATGAAGAAAGAGGAATTGAGGAGACATTGTCTTTTTACCATTAATTTGGAACAGATCTCTGCTTGTCGTCTCATTAGAAGACCCATCCCCACTGGTGCATTATTTCATGAACTAGTGATTGCCTCCAGAAAAGGAGGGCAAGTAACTCTTCTTAATGATTATCAGTACAAAAAAAAAAAACAAACTAAACTAAACTGCAGGGTACATCTTCAGATCTGTTGTATGTGGAGATCTTGCAGAAGCCATAGGCATTAATATTCTGCTTTAAATGGGTAGTCCTTGTGATTGACAGCCCTAAGAAGAAAAAGAACCATTTGGTTATTTAAGTATTATATAAAGTATTTTCAACAGTATTTCACTAGTGCAGTCTCCCTCCTTTGCTTCCAAGATACTCAATTTTTACTGCTGAGAGCAATCATTAATTTGCACACAGAGGCTTATGCACAAGTACGGTTGGACTCTATGATCTTGAAGGTCTTCTCCAACCATAATGATTCTATGATTTTAAGTACATGCAACACCAAGATGCAAGTTTGCTGGAGACTACCCTGAATGAAATCTCCCTCCTGATGTCAGTCCTGAGATGCATCTCGTTATCTGAGGTCCACAGTGTACAAAAGGAGCTCTCCCTACTTTTAGCTATATCTTTTTTCAAGATGGAAAAAAAAAAGAAGAAGAAAAAAAAGAGTATCTGGCAGGCTAGTGAATCTGAGGATAAGGAACATACACAGGTACTGCGACCGCCCTCCAGTTTCTGTTAAAGCCGAGTATGACATCCATCTCCTTTCTAGACAGTTCAAAGTCGAACACCTAGGGGAGAGAAAAACAAACAAAAACAGCCCTTTTCACATAGGTTTGTAAGTAGATACTAAATGCACTTCATGCATTTATGATTTGAGGCAGGATCATCCTGCATCAGTGAGTGTATTTAGGAAGTCCTCAGTCAAGGACATTTCTCAGTCAAGTTAGCAATTTAGCAATTTATTCTTGAAGCAATTAAGGTAGTCGTTTGTTCTTTGAGGTGAATTCAAGGCAACGTCTAGTGGTTTAACAGAGCTGACCATAAAGGCCACTGCAGATGGAGCTGCACTGCAGACAGACAAATTTAGGGCTATGGACAGATTAGTCAGTGTGTCACAAATATTGCAGTAAATACAGTAAATATTGTAGTAAATGCTTCTGCTACAACAGACAGCTACTGGGTACTAACCACAAATCAGTTATCTCACAACAGTCAGCTATCTTAGAACTCTTGCTGGTGGTTAATAGGAGAACTGAGTCCAAATGTAGCATCGTAAAAGTAATACAGGGATGCCATCCAGAAAGGCCAGACCTCTTAGCAAACATACAGCTGACTCTCCCTCCTCAGAGGAACCACAGCTTCAAAACGAGCTATTAACTCCATACTGTGTCTAGGTCTCTAGCCTCATTTGAGCATGTAATGTAGTGGCTGAACTAGCTGAGGCCCAGTGATGCAGCACTGCTTTGAATTTGTTTGCACCTTTACAGCCTGTCACATGGAAACATGGAAAAGCTGCTGGTGCCCAGCTTGTGCACAGAGATAGCCGCGATCCCAATGGGAACGTTACCTTCATATTTTCCTCAACACGATGTGGTTTGTCAGACTTGGGAATGACAATGACGTTCCTTTGGATAAGAAACCGGATCACGACCTAGGAAAGGACAAGGAAGGTTAGGGACACGGGGTGCACAGAGATCTGCTCAGATGCATTTTCTCCTTCTCTTCCCTCTGCTGCATCTTCCCACAGCCATGTTCACTCCTCAGAAGGTTTTACCAGAGTGCACTCCGGAGTTCGATGTGAGAGCATATGCATGCAGTCTGCTCACAAACTCCTATTTGTTTCTGGCCTAGGTTGTTTCTATATCCTGGCTTCTCAAGGTCATGTTTCGGTTTCACTTGGTGTAGGTATTGGGAGAAAAATAATGATGCTACAGGCTTGTGTTAGATGGGTGCTCCGGGCAGATGAGCATAGCAATACTGCAGCTTATTTTGGGCTCACAGATAAACATGCCCCCGGCTGTACTTTTTGACATCTTCAAAAGAAACAAACAAAAAAAGAGAGGATAAATTTCTGAAGTTTTCTCCTCAAAAGAGGACTGTTGCATACAGGGGTTTTTTGATGGTTATTTTTTTGGTTTTGTTTTTGTACTGCTCTGCCTGTCTGAAAGCATGACTATTGCTGGTTCCCTACGAACATGTTGATTTATTCAGTGCATTTTCCTATGGAGTGCAGATTCTTGCACACTCTGAACAAGACCTTATTTGTGTGAATAGTAGCTTACAGAGAAATGTTTTCAATCTGAATAATCCAGCAATTTTCAACAATTCTTTGCGAATAGGAGCAAACTGTGAACAATCAAATATGTTTGCAGAAGACAAGGCTTTTCTGAAGAATAGCTTAGCTGGAAAAGGGAGTAACAGGTTGGCTAGGTGATTCGTAAGTCAATCTCAAAGGAAAGGGAAGCACTTCTTGCGAGCAGAAGAAACCTCCCTAGGAAGGGGAACCCCAGTGTAGGCACAAAGCACTACTGATCAGTCTCCAAAAACTCAGCACTCAAGACTTTCAAAAAATTCTTCGTAATTCATAGGGATGCTGGAAAGAAGCTAGTGCGAAAAGTCAAATGCAGTTCAGCCACTTAGATACTACCCTTAGAGAAGGTAACGTTTGCTGCAGACTGAGCATCGGTCCCTTAACAACACCTGAGGATGAGGAAGATTTTATCCAGACTTACCTGGGCAGGGCTTTTATTATGCCTAGCTGCAATATCTTTAATCTTAGGATCCTCAAGCAGCATAGGTTCCCCTGGCTTGGCCCTAACAAAATAAAACCAAGAATATTAATGTTAGAATTTCCAGTAAGCATTTCAAGCATTTTACAAACTGATCTGTAATAAATCACCAGTACTTTACTTTCCTCATTATACTTGCATTATTTACATAATTTGCCCCAACTACTCAAGCTGCACGTGCATGTCTTTGCAGAGAGAAAGGCTGTAGGGCTTCCTTACCATGGGCGGTTTGGAGAGCCGAGGGGACTATAGGCAGTTACAGCAATCCCTTTAGATTGGCAATATTTGATCAACTTTTCCTGGGTGAGGTATGGGTGGCATTCAATCTGCAAGCACAGAAACACAGTGGTTGGCAAGCTGCCCTGGGTACCAGAACATAAAATACCTCCTGGATTGCATACAGCATAGAAATGATTCCCGGTATTATGATTAAAATCTACCATTTAAAAAAAAAAAAAAGTTATTCAGATTACAGCAACATCTAGAGGCCTCAGACACAGAATAGGGCTCCCTGGTACTATGCATTACACAAAGAGATAGATGGTAGGAGTCAGCCAAGTGCTTTTGCAGGAATCAGTGGAAACTAATCTTCCTAGACTATAGCCAAGACAGCAGGATAGCCTCTTCAAAGGGGCAGTTCAGGGTACTTGAAGCTTGAGTTGAGAAGCTTGTGCTAACTCTGCGTTAGCCAGCCTCTCCTCTCATCAGGAGACTCCCTGGTTCCTGGGTATGCCTGGGAAGATGAGCCTATTTAGGTCAGCCTTGGTGGATATCCACACCATGTCTTTCCTTAAGAGATGCTGTACTGAACGGACAAAGCTATGAAGCCTGGGTCCCTCTCACTACTCTGCAGCACACCTTGTTTGAGCTTAGGAAAGTTGCTTCATGCAACTACATGCAATCCCCACCTGAACTTCAGCTGTTGAAGTTTCTGCTCAAATACATAGCTAGGATGTTCTTTCTTCTACTAGAAGTATGAAATAAAGTTTAGCCACAACTCACATGTGCATAAATACCATTTCTGTTTCCCTAGGTTTGAAGCCAATGCTTTAAAAATACCGTATTGGTACAGTGCTGCAGTTGAACTTCTTTTTGCAGAAGAAGGACTTTTTAAATTTCATGAACTGTTCAAATGAACGCAGTATACAAAGAAGCATGCCCTTCTTGCAAAAGAATTACATTTGTTGCACACTTGGCACTACTGCTGGGAAACATTGGTGTTTCACTGCAATATGGCAGTGACCTTACTTAAGGTCTTGTCCTTGAATCTTGTTTAAATGGGGCACCAGACCTGGTGATTTGGTGTAATGGCAGCGTGTCGTGCATGCACACTGATGGAAAAGCAAGCTGCAGCCAAAGCCTGAAGGGCTTTGGAGTGTTGAATTTGGTGCAGCTCTTACCTTGGAAATACCTGGAGCCATCCCCACCTGAACTATATAGCCCTCCTTAAAATCTCTGAGCCCTATCTCCACTTGTGCTAAGTTGGCTGAGAAAGACAAGCAGCAACTCCTGACAGGTCCAAAAACACAATGCAGAAGAAAGAAAGTCAGAAGCTCCTGGTGCCCTAGTTTTCTTGTGCTTTTCTTCAGGAGGCTAGAGGCGAGAGTTTGTTGTGTGCTCTAACTTCCTTTTATACAAAGAAGTTGAATTAAATGTATTCTTTTGTGTTGGATGGGAAAAAAAAACAGTGACTCTGCTAATGCGCTCCCATGCTTGCAGCAGGAGTGGGAATGGAATATTCTCATCTGGTTAGTATTACCATGCTATGACTAATTTCACATTGTTTTGTTACAATACTGCTCTCTTAAATCTCCACTGCATTATACACACAACAACAAAATTTTGTCTACAACAAAATTTTCTGTTGAGATCCTCATCAGCTAAAAAGCATTAATGCTGACACCTTATTGACGCCTAATAGACTGCACAGACTTGGAGGCTGTTCAAACAGTCTGAGATATCTGGTGCCGTGTGAGGTTTTTCCACAGGTTATGGTAAAGGCAAGTTTCAAGAGCTGAAGTACAGATCACATAGTTTCAAGAATATTCCAAAATTAGCTGACACTAAGGGAAATAAAGATCTTACCTGGTTATTTACAGGTTTGTACCTGAGGCCAGGCTTGTTCAGTAGTCTCTCAATCTGCTCATGGTTAAAGTTGGAGATACCAATGGCTTTTACTAGACCAGCATCCACCAGCTCTTCCATGGCCTAAAGGGTCAAAACAACCAACAGATATTTATGAGGTAGTATTACTGCAAACTACACTCTCTTCTTTCACTAAAGAAAGTGACAAACTAGTAAATAAGCCAAACTAGATTAAATAATGGTCTCCCCAATAAGAAAAGAGTAAGTTTTTGCACCTTTTATTATCTGTACACTTCAGTGATATACCATTGCAGATAGGAAAGCAACAGAGGAAGAAGGGCCTGGCTAATTCTTTTGTAATGGGGTACGTATTTCTAGTTTAGGCTTCTCTGAGGGTCATTATACCATTGTGAAAAAGCAGGAGACCCCCTAGTCCTAACTCTGAGTTAGGAGAGGAGTTCATTAAGGAAGATGTTAGCTCAAATTCCATTACCTCAGTACATTCCTAACGAACTGCATTGTAGAGGAAACGATTAATTCCCAGAGCTGCAGCATCACACAGGAGCAGGCAGCAGGAGCAGACCCTGACTCCCTACAGACCACAAGGAAAGGAGCCAAGGACAGTCAGCAATGCCGATGCCCGTTGCTGAAAACCTTGTACTAATTCCCTCTCTCTGCAACTCCCAGTAAATGAACAACCACACCTAGGTTAATCTAAGTAGTAGTTATACCATTGTGTAGAAGTGTGTGTTCAAATATTATATTACTGACAGCGCCTACAGCTAGTGATTACAGGTAGTTTCCTCCCCTTTAGTCTTAGCAAAGACAGCAAAGACTCTCTTGTCCTAAAAAAAAAAAAAAAAAAAAAAGTGAGAGAGAGAGAGAGAGAGAGAAAGCATCAACTCTGTTCTCTCTAATCACAAAATAGTTTTGTGTAACTACACTCCCCTACCCTAACCTTAGTTTCACTTTGCCTGCAGATCTCTGCCCCACAGTTAGTGCTGGCACAGGCACAAAAGAGTAAACATAAACTTACCTCCCATGTGTCCAGAAAATCTGTATCACTGGGAATAATCATTCCTTTGTCATCCACAGGACTCAGTTCTTCACCAGCCTGTTTATGCAAGGCAAAAAGCAGAAAAACTTGTTTTCAGCATTGAATTTCTATACTGTATATTAGCATTTGATTGGAATGACAGGCAGCAAATCAACAGTTTTTTTGAACATATTGCATAACTAAAAATCATGCTTGTGCATCAATATTCTGTTGGATGAAGGCCATACTTCTGCAAATCAGGTCACTGCATACAAAGAGATGGGGATTAGTAGTAATTATTTGAGTAACTTAAATAACTTCTAGAGAGAAGGGAAAAGACACTCCCTTATGATCATTACATAATTTTTATATATAAAAAAGGCAAATTCTTTCATGCTGTGTTTCATTTTCCACCGTTGGTTACTCCAGATCAGATCAGCATCTCCAAAATTTGAGATATTCACACTGTTAATGGCCACAATGCCATGATGCCAAACTGCATCATGCATTGGTTGGAGTTTCCCTCGAATTCCCAGTGGGCTTGTTAGGTATGCTCATACCCCCAGCTATCTCACTCCACCAAAGAGATGTACATGCAGAACTGGCCTTTTTAGTCACTGCAAGTGCTTGACACCACCAGGCTCACGAAAGAGCCGACTGGCTGCATCTGCAAGCATGTAGCCTTGTTATGCTCACCTGGTGTCTTCCAAGGTAAGAAAACAGTAAGGAACAGTAGGCCTACCTTGTATCCCATAGGAAAATGTATCAGGTAGAGGTCGATGTAGTCCAGTTTCAGTGCGGCAAGGCTCTTCTTGCACGCTTCCTTTACCAGAGGTTTCTCATGAAACGTGTTCCACAACTATGGGGAGAAACCAAGCTTGACTTTGACTCAGCAGCTTCCAGGGTCAAAATCGACATTTCCCCTTGGTGGTCTTAGAGGACAATTCCTTGAAGACCTACGCCAAGCAGGTGGACGTGCACGATAATGTTTGAGTGGTAGAGTTAGACAAGCATACCATAACTAAAAAAGTCGGTATTGGAGGTGGATCATCGATAGTAATATTTATGAAAAGGGAGTGCCAGAGCTGACTGTAGCTTTTCACCACATGTATCTGGCAACCAGCATAGCAAAGTTACCACAGTTTTGTTGTTCTTTTCTATCATCTGAAATTTAAATTTTGAGCACCTAATGACTACCTTCCTTCTCCCCTCTTTTATCTGGCCACTGTGGACTGTTGTGAATTTTATTAGATCATTTTTTTTTGGAATGGAAAATCAAACTGTTTATACAGAAAAAAAAAAGAGAAATATTGTTTTAATTACAAACTGCTCTTTAACAAAAATCAAGAGTATGTGGAAAACTTATTTATGCTTAGTGTTTCCTGGTTTTGCTGATGAAAAACTCTAGTTGCTATTTTTGTTTTTAGAAGTTTTTTCTTTTTTTCATTTTTTGGTAACAGATGTTCCTGAGATGAGTGGGTGAGATGATGGAAAGGAGTTAAGTATAGAGACATACATCAGACTGAAGTCCACTACTTTATTTCTGTTCCTTCTCAGGTTTTCATTTTCTACATTGCACCATTTTGTAATATCTTGCCCACCAGTAAGTATCTTTTTAGGGTATGTGTGTGGGAAAGTTCAACATACATAAGCGACTTAATAGATGTAATGGCGTTATTGATGAGCAAGAGCCTTGCTATCTCTAAGTGATTGAGTGTTCCTAATAAAGCTCTGTCCAAATTTCAATTAAAGGATAGATTCATAGCCTAGATGAAAACATTCCTGAAGACTATTGGAGAAGCGGGGGGGATAATTGCTTAGGTTATTTTAGGAAACAAGGGTTGCTTGCTGTATTATAGCTCTGTCCGAGAAATTGCAGCAAGAATTGTGCATCGTTGTACCTTACTGACGAGGAAGAGGTCCTCCCGCTTCACAACCCCCTCCTTGATCTTCTGCTCCACGGCGTTCCCTATTTCGTCTTCATTTCGGTAAAAGTAGGCACAGTCAAAGTGGCGGTAACCTGCATCAATAGCAAACTTCACCACCTCTTCCACCTTCCCTGGAGGAGCCTGAAAGGAAACACGACCAAAGGTGAGCTATGCAATCCCTGCTCCCAGCCCTCGTCAGCAGGGCTCCCCAAAAGTCACCCTTTCCAGTGAGATGCTGCAGGTTGCTTGTCACCTGTATTTACATGGAGTTTTACCTGCTCAGGTAACAGGCATTTTCATCAGGAGGGCAGGGAATGGGGCAGAAAGGGTATTTTTGCCCCTGGCATATCCAGCAGTGTCAGGCCCAGTACCACTTCCCCTTATTTGCTCATGGTGTTACCCAAGTGTTTTCACCAGTGTAGCTCTCCCAATCCCTTCCTCACACAGGCATTTTGCTGTGTCTCATCCTGCGCAGATCCTGGAGGGAAGCATCCCTTTCACCAGGCCATTGGGCACTCTGTAGGGGACCCTTCCCACGGGACTGAGCTGCAAGCGTAGGTAGCATTCCCCACCTTTTTTTTGCAATATGTTTTTTTTTCTCTCGTGCCTTTTTTTCCGGCTTTTTGCCCCTTTTTCCTGCCTGCCCCCCCGCCCCAGCAGCAGCCTGCCCAGCATGTTACACAAGCGGCCACAATAATCCGGGCCAGGCGGCGCGGGCCCCCCCGCTCCGCGCAGGGAAGTGCGCCAACTGCCACTTTGTTTTTTCCCCTTTCCTTTGATTTTCTTTTAAATTTTTAATTCTTTTAATTTTTGCCCTGTCTGCAGGAGCAAAGGGCTCCGCGCCCCCGCGCGCACCCCATCCTCCGGCCACACGGGTACCTGCCAGGTGCCCAGCCCCAAGATGGGCATCTTCATCTTGTTGCTCAGCTCCACGCACGGGCTCGCCATGGCGTGGTCCGTCTATCTGTCTGTCTGTCTGTCTGTCCGTCTGTCTGTCTGTGGGTCGCTCTGTCGGTGGACACCCCTCCGCTCCTCCTGCCGTTGTGCCTGTGGCGCTTTAAAGCGCGGGGCCACGGATCCC